GGCTGTTCCATCAGGATGATTAGTTGTGTATAGGTTGTAATTTGGAACCTTGAAAAAACTTATCGACGTGAAGTGGGTTTCTGAGACTAGTAGAATATCTATTTTTTGAAGATTAAGAAAATGTATAATTTCTTGAGTATGATTACTCAATCCATTTGAGTTCCAGACAGCAATTCGAATGAAATGATACATGGATTAAACTTAGTAACCAGGAATGTTAATAAGTTAAGCATTACACTCATTTGGTCGACTAATGATTTTACCATTTGTTTTAATTCAGATATATCATTATTTTGGATTCTGGGCTGAGAAATTAATTCTGGATTAGTAACCTGCTGTATATTCTCTGATCTAGTTGCCTGGGCAAATGAAAGGTTTGATTGAATCCGGTTGTTATATATTAAGTTAGAAAAAGGTAAGATCCTGGGCCTTAAAGGCGGAAATTTGCGAGATATTATTTCCTTATAGACTCTGCAACCTTTATAATTTGCTGGATGTTTTTCGCCGCAATTCACGCATTTGACATTTTCATTAATAGGATCTTTCCATAAGCAAACATTAGAAAGGTGTTTACCAGCGCATTTAATACATCGGGGTTTATGATTGCAATAAGATTTTGTATGCCCAAATAGTTGACATTTTGAGCATTGCACTATATTTTTTGTAGGTCTTTTAGGTTCTATCTTTACTTAAGTTCTATTTAGGAATTCAATTTTATAAATATCTAAGTTATTTGAACTCTGTTCAATTTCAAGTAAGAACAGATAAAGAGGGGCTTTTGTTAATCGATGCTTTATGTTGAATAAGTTGATAACTTTATGCCCGTAGGAGTTGATTTCTTCTGTTAAATCTTTTAAATTAGTACTGTGGTGGAGATTCCTTATAACAGTTTTAAATGTACGCTTAGATTTGTATTGGAAAGAACGAAATGAGGTTCCTCTATCCTTTAGTAGTTTTAATATTTTATTATAGATTTTTGGCTCAGATAATTGGACACGTACCTGAAGATTACCTACAATTTTTAATTGATAAACATCTTTAGCATGCTCATTCAGAAGGTTTGTAAGAGGGGTAATATCACCTACACCATGGACAAATATTGGAGGTGGCTTTTGAGCTACATGTTTAGGTGGTGGATCTATTGGGACATTATTTAATACGTCAAAATAATTATTTAATGGAGTTGGATTAAGCCAATACTGATCTGACTCGTTGTTACAAAGGACTGACTTTATGGAAGATGTTATGGATGATGTTATGGATGATGTGACGTTATGGATGATGTTATGGATCATCCATGTGACGCTTTCTTCTTTTTCGAACTGTTGTCCATTCAACATTCATCGATTTATTATTATTTTGAAATTCAGTTAAATTTATAGCATCATTTGAATGATGGTTTTTCAAGTTCGAATTTGATCTAGTTGTGGGTTTACCTGCTGTACTTGGACCTGGTGCCATATCAATATTATTTATGTCACTGACAGCTTCAAAGTCAGTATTGTTTGATAATACGTCCCCTCCTATGGGGATCATTTTTATAAAAACTTTACCTGCGCCCAGAGGCGAGGTGCACTTAGTCCACACTAGTAGATAAAACCGTTATTTACTGATGTAAAATTAAAAGTATTAACGATAATATATTTTTTTCTTTTTGATATAAATTAGCCGACACTATTATTATAAATGAATACTTTCGTCACGAAACGATTCTATTTTATAATTGTTGAGTGTTTTTCGTCTTGATATAAATTAGCCGATACTAAATTCATAAATCAATACTTTGGTCTTGAAACAATTAAATTAAATTAAATAAGCCTTTTATTTCTTGCCTTTTTACTAATTTTTTAAACATGATTATACTAAATTAACATACGCATGTATTTACATAACATTATTTTAATATGTAATATAAACTCAGTACACGATGTATAGATTTAGTCGGCAAGAACCCCGGGTTGGGTATAGGCCTCCTCCAAAGATACCCATGCTTCTCTATCTTGTGCAATATCCCTCCAGATCGTGCCAGCTGTTCGTCTCAGGTCGTCTTCCCATCTGGTTAGTGGTCTTCCACGATTTCGCTTACCCGCTGGACCATTCCACGATGTTACTCTCTTTGACCATCTTTTATCTGTGCATCGCACAAACTGTCCGGCCCATCTCCATTTTTGTTTTAATGCATAAGTTACATCGTCGGTTGCTTTCGTGATTTTTCTTATTTTGGTATGTCTGATTTTATCTAACTTTCTGATATGTAACATGCTCCTCTCTAGTCCCCTTTGACAGGTTTTAATTTTATTTATGGTTTTGGATGAAAATTTCCATGTTTGGCAGACATAAGTAAGGCATGGTACCAGGCTAGAGTTCAACACTTTCGTTTTAATATCTATCGGCATATTGCTTTTGAATATTTCTTTTAAATCCCAATATTTATTCCAAGTTTTTTGTATCCTTCTTTCTACTTCATATTTGTCGTTATTTTTGTCAAAACTTAATAGTTATACCAAGTATATGTAATTATCGACGTAATCAATGGGCTTGTTATTGATTTGTATTGGAAATTTTCGTCTGTTGTTTGTTAATGTTTTTGTTTTGGTTAAATTCATCTCCAGGCCAACCTGGACGCTGGCTTGATGCAAGGATGCAACATGAATTGCATTTGACCGGCCGATTCTGATAAAAGCACAATATCGTCCGCAAATCTAAGATGACTTATATGTTTGCCTTTTATACAGATGCCTAATTTACGCCAATCCAGCTTTCCAATAATGTTCTGTAGGATTGAGATAAATATTATTGGAGAGAGAGGATCCCCCTGCCTTACGCCTCTTTTTATGGGAAAACTTGAACCGATAGACTCTAGTTTGATTCTTCCTTTGATGTTATTGTATATACTTTGTATGGTCTTTATGTATATTTCTTCAACTCCTTGCTCTCGCAAGCTTTCCCATATGCTGTTGTGTGAAACGGAGTCAAAAGCTTTCTGGTGGTCTATGAAAGTTAAATATAATGTTCTCTGTTGCTCCTGATATTTTTCTATAATTAGCTCTATTGTATGAATGTGGTCAATTGTAGAGAATCCTTTTCTGAAACCCGCTTGTTCCACGGGTTGTTTCCTTTCTAGTGTTGTACTTATTCTTTTGTTTATAATTGTAGAAAATAGTTTATACAGGCTAGGTAGTAGGCTAATAGGTCTATAGTTGCCAATATTTTTGGGATCTCCTTTTTTATATATTAGTATTATGTTTGCTTCGGACCACTGAAAGGGCGTTATAGAGTGCTGGAGTATTAGGTTGAACAGTTTTGCTAACGGTGTAGCCAAAATTAACTGAGCATTTATTAGAGCTTCATTTGAGATGTTGTCGAAACCTGGACATTTTTCTTTTTTTAGTTTTTTTATAGTTTCAACCACTTCGGATTCGTTGAACTTTATGAAGTCATTAAGTTGGCATTCTTTATTGTTATAATATGATGTTGTAATCGTGTTAGTATTGTCACTGTACAGATTAGTATAAAACTCTGTAGCCGTAGTTACAATGTCTTTTCGTTTGTGTATAGATTTGTCCAGGTTTTTTAATTCTTTTATCCAGCGATTATTTGTACGAAGTGTTTTAAATGGTTTCTTCGTGCTACCAGAAAGCTGTAGTTGGCTCATTATAGTGTCTTGTCTGTATTTTGAGTAGTCACTTTTTATATATTTATTAATTATTTTGTACAAAGCAGAGAGTTCGTTTTTCATAGCACGCGTTTTGTTCTTTGTAGCAGTTTTACTGTTTTCTCTTGTAATATTTTGTGTTTTTGCTTACTTGTCTTGGTATGTGCAAGTTGTTGGCTTTCTAAAATAGCATTACTAATGGTATCGTAATAGTTTTGTATCATATCTCTTGCTTGTTGATTTGCTAGCACAGGTAATGTAGATTTAAGATGGTTCTTATAAATTTCTATTTTCTTTGCACTATTGAATTGACAAACTGGTTTATTGGTAAAACGCGCTCTGCTTGGTTTATGTTTAGATATTTTTACTGTACCTCTGATGGCGCGATGGTCAGATGGGTAGTTCAGGTTTAAGACTTCGAAGTTTGTAAATGATCGAATTTGGTTTGTGAGAATGTAATCAATCTCGTTTTTATGTCCATTCGGTGACTTCCAGGTCCATTACCGGTTTGGTTTTTTCTTAAAGCAGGTATTTACTATTGTTAGCTTGTGTATGAGTGCAAAGTCAACAAGTTTCTGTCCTCTGTTATTCCTTGTGCCAAAGCCATGTTCTTTCACGACAAATTCCTGGTATTTTTTTGATGTGCCCACCTTCGCGTTGAAGTCACCCATAATTATGACGTGTTTGTGCGCCGTTTTTAATGCTTCCTCAATTGACTCATATAATTCGTCGATATCCGTTTCTTTTGCATCTGACGTAGGAAAGTAGACTTGAAGAATGGATATCGTATGACCTCCTATGTCTATATTGAGTATGGCTAAACGCTCCGATATACCAATAAAGCTTCCTATGTTATTTTTTATATCCTTGTTTATTATGAAACCTACCCCGTATTGACCTGCTGTCTGTCCTATATAGCAAAGAATAAAGTTATCATATTCCTTAATTTCACAACCTTGACGTCTTACCTCTGAAATTCCCATTATATCATAGTTTATAGCGCTTAAACAATTTTCTAATTCTAATTGTCGTTCGTATGTTGATAGAGTCTTGACATTGAATGTAAGTATTTTAAGTAAGCAATTTTTATTGTTGCTTGGTGTTATCGTTTTCTTTGGAGGGTCGTGGTCATAATCCTCCACGGTGACCAACCGGGTTAGAGGATTTGTTACGTTATGTTTCGTTGAATAGTTGTTTGTTGGGTTTATATGGAGAGGAGCAGCTGTTTGCTACGCATTACTTTTTGTAGTTTCTTGTCCCTGTGCTGTATTTTTTTAAGAAAATTTAGCATGCTCGGTTTGTTTACTCCTTCGGTAATGCTGTTAGATCTTCTCAGTGATATCTCTTAATGTTGTGGCTTATTTTTTTTTGTCTGTGTAATTCTTTCTTTTGACATTTCTTCTGCGAATTTTGATGGCGATGCAGAAAACTTTCTTTTGGATGTTTGTTTAGGTATAACTAGTTTGTCATATTTTAGGAAAGCCATGTTGCCATTTTCTCTTTCTATTTTCAGCTGTTCTTGTAATTGTCTTCTTTTTTTTAGGATCTGTTTTGGGTAATCTTCTTTTATATAGTAGCACGTGTCGCGCAGTGTTTTTTTCTGTTTCAATATATTTATCTTAGTGCTGAGATTTGAGAAGGATATCAGAGTGGGTCGTGGTTTATCGCCCTTTTTTCCTAGCCTTCTAACTACTTGTAGAGCGGTATCTGTTAATTTGATTGAAAAGTGTAGGTCTAACCAATTGAGCATATGTTTTTGTAAAGTTTCGTATGAAGATTCCAGTTCTTCGATACCGAAAATAACTATGTTTCTTTGTCTCGCCTGTTTTTCTAGGAAGTAGATCCTCTTCTCTTGGATGTCTACTATCTCCTTGAGTTTCACATATTTCTCTTCCAAAGCAAGAAGTTTTTCCTCTAATATCCTGTTGATGTTTTGTGTGACGTGTTCTGTAACCTTTAATACACTGTTACGAATCTCTTTTTTCTGGTCGTCAAGTTCCAGCTGAATTTTTTTTAAGAGCTTTCATAATTTCATCCATGATTATTTTGGAATTAATTTTATAGTTTGTTTTTTTGTAAGTTACACCCTCTAGTGGCGGCGATGCTCTGCAAGATGGCTTGACCGGTTATAAAAGGTGTTTGTGCTTGGGCTGCTCGCTCACTACTGACAGTTTGTTGTCTAAGATGGACGCACACACGCCGTGTTTACACAAAACAGCAGCAAATCCGCTTTGACCCGCACGTAGGTGTTTATACTTGGGCTGCTCGCTCACTGCTGACAGTTTGTTGTCTAAGATGGCCGCACACACGCCGTGTTTATACAAAAAAACAGCAGCAAATCCGCTTTGACCCGCACGATGGTGTTTGTACTTGGGCCGCTCGCTCACTACTGACAGTTTGTTGTCTAAGATGGCCGCATACACGCCGTGTTTACACAAAAACAGCAGCAAATCCGCTTTGACCCGCACGATGGTGTTTGTACTTGGGCTGCTCGCTCACTACTGACAGTTTGTTATCTAAGATGGCCGCACACACGCCGTGTTTACTCAAAAAAACAGCAGCAAATTCGCTTTGACCCGCACGATGGTGTTTGTACTTGGGCCGCTCGCTCACTACTGACAGTTTGTTGTCTAAGATGGCCGCATACACGCCGTGTTTACACAAAAACAGCAGCAAATCCGCTTTGACCCGCACGATGGTGTTTGTACTTGGGCTGCTCGCTCACTACTGACAGTTTGTTGTCTAAGATGGCCGCACACACGCCGTGTTTACACAAAAAACAGCAGCAAATTCGCTTTGACCCGCACGATGGTGTTTGTACTTGGGCTGCTCGCTCACTACTGACAGTTTGTTGTCTAAGATGGCCGCACACACGCCGTGTTTACGCAAAAAACAGCAGCAAATCCGCTTTGACCCGCACGATGGTGTTTGTACTTGGGCTGCTCGCTCACTACTGACAGTTTGTTGTCTAAGATGGCCGCACACACGCCGTGTTTACACAAAAAAACAGCAGCAAATCCGCTTTGACCCGCACGATGGTGTTTGTACTTGGGCTGCTCGCTCACTACTGACAGTTTGTTGTCTAAGATGGCCGCACACACGCCGTGTTTACACAAAAAAAACAGCAGCAAATCCGCTTTGACCCGCACGATGGTGTTTGTACTTGGGCTGCTCGCTCACTACTTGAAACAATACTATTTTTTAATTATTGAGTATTTTTCTTTTTGATATAAATCGAAAGTACTCAAAAAAGGGCCGATTATAAAGCTTTCTACAAAAATCTGAAAAAGCGATACATCCAAAAATGGAGCATGTAAAAAAACAAACGAATATAAAAGACATTATAAATTCTGATAACAAAAATATCACAATTTGGAACATAATAAAAAAGGAAAGTGCTAAGAATTTTACAGGTAATATAAGTCATGAGGCCCCCAGTGTTAAAGGCTTCAATATTTTTTTCAAAAATGTAGCCATAAATGTAGTAAAAAATCTGCCCCAGCCAATAATTGCAGCCGATGTCTATTTGACAAAGGTATTTGTGAAGCGGAAAAGTATATTTTTAAATCCAACTACCCCAGAGGAATTTAATACAATGATTAAACGCTTAAAAAATAAAACGTCGTTTGATGCCTTCGGCATTAATACAAAAATGGTAAAATCTGTCGTACAGTACATTGCAAGACCGTTGTGCACGATAGCAAATAATATTTTCTCCACAGGAATCTTTCCAGAAAAAAATGACTGGCTGGCAAGAGTAGTACCATTATATAAATCAGGAAATCGACAATCAGCAGCAAACTACAGACCCATAGCCATACTGCCAATATTTTCGAAAATTATAGAAATGCTATTAGCATTAAGAATTACAAGTTTCTTCAATGCTAATAATTATTTTGTAAAAAATCAATTTGGATTCAAAAAAAATTAACACAATTAATGCTGTGCTAGACTTTTTGAACTTTAAATCAAATTCACTGTAAGATAACAAACACTGTGGTGCACTATTTTGCGATCTCAGCAAAGCGTTTGATTGTGTTCCACATGACATATTTCTCAGGAAACTGGAATATTATAGATTAAGAGGCGTAGCCCTTAAACTTATGCAATCATACCTATGTAACAGGTATCAGTTTGTGGATTGTAACAATAAACAAAGTGAGATAGCAAGATTAAATGCAGGGGTTGCCCAAGAAACTATTCTTGGACCACTTCTTTTTATCATATTTGTGAATGATCTACCACCGAACATTAGCAGCCACACAACGCAATTTGCAGATGACACAGCATTGGCGGTTGCAGACGAGAACATCGCAAATATGAACGAAAAAATTCAGTATGCCCACAAGCAAGTTGAAAACTGGTGTTCAGCCAACAAAATTGTACTAAACAATAGAAAAACTGTCCATATTAACTTTACTTCCTTTTACATAAGGAGCTGCATGACGGGGAAGTTAAATATTTGGGTCTCACTATGGACAGCCTGCTAACCTGGGCGAAGCACATAGATTCAATATGTACTATGCTCTCAAAATCAATATATGCCATCGGAAGTGTAAGACACATTATAAATGAGGAATGCGCCAGAGAGGCTTACTTTGCCATGTTTCATTATGTGTTCTCACATGAAATATTGGCATGAATACCTCCAAGATAATGGATTTACAGAAGAAGGCTGTAAGGGAAATCGGAGGGCCCTCACCTCAGAAGCACTGCAGACCCTTGTTTACTATATTTAGATTACTGACTTTACATCTACCAGCAGGCGATGGCAGTCCATGCAGACAGAACAAACCATGTACTGAAAAGTGACGCCCATGGCCACGCGGAAAAGGTATGCTGTTGTACCTCTAAAACTGAAGCTGAAATGCTCGCGAAGGAACAAGCTGGGTGTCGAGATCTACAACAGGCTCCCCAATGAGTGAAAAAGTAAAAGCAGGAATGGTTTCAATGCTGCTGTTAAAAAACATCTTATAGATCAACCTATCTATTTAATTAATGAATTTTTTAATCCAAGATTAATATTAATTGTCATTAGGTTAATCTGTTGTTCATAAACATAACTGATATTAGTTTAGTTATATTATAGTATTGCGATAAAAATAATAATTGTATTGACTTAAATTGTAAATATTAAATTTGAATAAAGTATCTATCTATCTAAATAGAAATCTGAATTATTTTCGATATACAAAAAAAAATTGAAATAATTTTATTTTTTCAAAGCAATTGTTTTGTCAACACAAGCAGAAAGTTTTTTGAATCATTTGATTCAAATGCTTATTTCTTTTGAAAACTGCCATTTCTTGTATATTTCGCTCCTTATATCCGAAATGGCTGGGCCTGCCTTTGCCATAAACTAATAGCCATTTCTCCCAATCATTACTAATTGAATGTTTTTTAGATCATTCACATCGGGTGCTCCGAAAACTCGATTCCTATGCACTCTTTGCTCTTTATCTCCGTAGCGGCTGGACCTGCTTCTGCGAAAAAATAATTAGCACATCTCCCCATCAATACACTTCGGCAGGGATGACACTGAATTTCATGTGTGTTAGTTTTTACTGACACATCCGCAGCAATATATAACGACAATAACAGTCCTTATAAACCATTTTTGAGTTTATATCTATTGTTTTTAACCCATTTTTATGCACGCCAATACTGACCTCAATCGCTGTCACAACCGTCCCTCGGATATGAACGGTTGTGCGATTGGTCTTTTTTGGTATGGTTTGATTTTATGTTCAAATTGCCATTTCATTTTTTTTCTCTCAGCTAACTGGTAAGCTAAAACTGGCTGAACAAAAACAGAAGACCGTACCCAGTCTCCCATAATTTCAAAAATGTCAATCTTGTTTGGAAATCAGGAAAAATTAAATTAAATTTTGTTGAAAATCAAGTTACGCAGACTTTATTAATTCTATTATTTAATTGCATCTGAAATGATGAATAACACTTAAATAGTTTTATACAAATTTAATTTTATACAATATTTTACTTTACTAATTTATTTAATTTATAACTAATTTTAAAAATTCAATAATCATATGGTAAAATTAACACTATCTTGAGTATAAAAGTCAATAATATTTCTAATCTCTTGTTCTAACTTTTTGTATATTTTGTTTTAAACTGATACTGATCACTAATCTCTATTTTTCTCTCAGCTAACTGGTAAGCTAACACTGGCTGAACAAAAACAGAAGACCGTACCCAGTCTCCCATAATTTCAAAAATGTCAATCTTGTTTGGGAATCAGGAAAAATTAAATTAAATTTTGTTGAAAATCAAGTTACGCAGGCTTTATTAATTCTATTATTTAATTGCATCTGAAATGATGAATAACACTTAAATAGTTTTATACAAATTTAATTTTATACAATATTTTACTTTACTAATTTATTTAATTTATAACTAATTTTAAAAATTCAATAATCATATGGTAAAATTAACACTATCTTGAAAAAAAAATCATTAATATTTCTTATCTCTTGTTCTAACTTTTTGTATATTTTGTTTTAAACTGATACTGATCACTAATCTCTATTTTTCCATACTTTTTCTTCTTTTTCTTTTTTTACTTTTTTGCCTTACTACATTGTTTTCGTTTAACCATCACTCTTTCTTAATCTCATCTGACACTCTACGGGCTTTCTAATCTCTAACTGCATTATCCCACCAGAGACGCGAGGGCGGCAGCCGGTATTCTCAGCGACACCGTCGTGTCGCTCTCAGGGACAATCCGAAACCCCTTATCGTCAGCTATATACGAGACCTCGACGAGGTTGCCATTTGGGTCGGTATAACTGTAGGAGCCCTTAACGGTCAGAATCTTATCGGGTCCAACGAGTTCGCCCTCTTCCATGCGGGACTGACCGTCACTAGTTTCGAACCTAAAAAATGGGGAGTTAAAAATTATACTTTATAAAAATCATTAATCAAATTTAAAACACGAAAGTCTAATAAAGGACATATGGATATGTAATGGCAAGACCAATATATATTAACACTAAGACCGAGATATTTTAATACTAGATCTACCAAAAATACTTGTATACTTATTACAAACGCGCGTAGTCAATATAGCAGATTATTAGTGGTGCTTTAAGACAAATTGCTTGGACTTCCCTTATCGCAATTAAACATTCGAGGGATAATCCTAGATCAGAAGCTGCCTAAAACAAAAATTGTAGTCTGTAAATAATTTCTTTCGGCGTTTACAAAATCCACGCATTTATTCCAGATAAGTCTAACCTGTCTAAAAACCAGGGGCGTAACTACCGCCGTACGGTAGTACGTAAAAATACGGGGCTTCCGTACCAGGAAAGCCCCCAACGTCCGTAAGCAAATATTAATAATAAAAAAAATACTTCACAAAAAGCGAATTAATCGTGAAAACTTTGTTCAATTAAATTTAATGTCATTAAAAAAGAACGCAAGAAATGTAAATTTATTATTTTAAAAAGTTTTATTTTTACCCCGCCATGGGGGCCCCAAACGTGCGCAAAATTTAGTAGAAACCTACAAATTTTTATTTAATTTTACAAATAGCAAAAGTTAAGATAATCATGAAAACATACTTCCAACTAAATTTAATTTGAAAAAAAAAATGAACATGTAGAATATAAAAATATAATTTTAGAGGGTTGTGATAGAATAGAAAACTGGCATTTTATTAAGTCATTTCTTTAATAGGTTGTGCAATTTAAAAAATCAAAATTAATTTAGCAATTTGCTAAATGTCTCGAAAAATTAACAAAGGAATGGAACGTAACGAAAAACTATATGCAAAGTATAGCGACCCGTAATCTTATTTCAAACTCAACATTTTGCTAATTAAATATATTAATTTCTCATACTAAACAGATTTCAGAGACTTCGACTCAATTATTATGTTCGAAAAATTACAATTGGGGTCATTTCGCAAACCACTACAGTACAGTAAGATAATCTCTTTCAATTTTTATTGTAATTGTAATTGTAATCTCTCTAAAAATATGTTTAAAATATGAAATTCAATTAGGGTAGAGCGGGGCTAGTTGAGCAAATTTTTACTTAAACGGATGTAGCTCCTCAATGAAAAGCCTCAATAAATTGCTATACGGCTTAATGGATTTGTTGTTTGTCGCTTAACAAAAGTGTTAATACTATTTTTTGGTAATAAGTAAAACTTAAAAGCTACAGCTGTTCAAATGCAAAAAGTCAAGTATGCTCAATGTACCCCATAGGTGGGGCAAGTTGAGCAGTAAGAAAGTATAATGAAATCATAGGTTCAATGTCGATTAGTGATGAAATAAAATAAGTTTTTAATAACCAGTTCTATATTTATAGTCTTTATTGACAGAGAAAACAAAACTTATAGTAATTTGCTTTGAATAATTAACGAAAAGTAGAATCAACAAAACAATATCGTATCTTAGGAATTATTTTACCATTATATTCAGTATTTTTGTTTAAAATCATTATTTATATTATTACTCATAGACTCATTTTATATTATTACTCATAGACTTAGCTCAAATCTTAAAAATAATAATTAATTTCTGGAAGTTAATAGTAATTGTCTTAGTGATAGAACAAATTTAGCAACTATGCTCAACTAACCCCAACTCGGAATTTCAAAATAAAAGTGAGTTTATAAGAAAACCGTGAGAATTATAACCAGAATTTCTGTGCATATTAAAAGTACTATAATTATATGGAAGAATAACATTTACCTGATTAAAAATAAATAACATTTGACTAAACCAGACAAAAACTCGTAATGAATTACTTTTTTACTTTTTGGTGTCAAAATAAACAAAACGCCCGTGAGCCTCAGTCATTTGTCCAGCGACCACTGGCGATTGCGGGATATTTATTTCTCCCAAACCTCTATGTTTCCGCCATATAATGCCTAAACGGACGGTGAATAGTTTCCGAGATATTTCGATTGCTCAACTTGCCCCTATGCTCAACTAGCCCCGCTCTACCCTACTATTGCTGACAAAATTTAATAGTTTTGCATTCAATTTTTTCAAAGTAATTTTTGCATACTATTTACCCAGTTACAACTGCAAATGATGTAATTTTCAAAGATATCTTGAAAAAAAAAGATGGCTATGATCCTGGAAATACGTTACATCAAAATTCGTTTTATCAAGAAACTATATCAAAAACTATAGACATCATAAGCTATAAATGATTTAATAAATGTGTATGCACACTGAATTTGAATTGTTCGTAAAAATATTGGAAAGGGCTAAATGAATATTGATGATAAGTGAAGATGTATTAATTTATTAACTTCCCGAAGGAGAAGTTTATGTTTTCATAAAAAAATCCGATTCGCTAATTTTATGTTTTCTCGACGTTTCAAGCCATTCTGAATCGAATGAGACCAAATTTGGAAAAAGTATGTGTGTGTGTGTGTGTGCGCGTGCAACAACAGATTTCTTGCCGTAAATCGCCGTTTTCTCAAAAACGGCTGGACCGACTTCAAAAATTTAAAAGCCATTCGAAGTATCTCGATGAGGACTATTGTTTGTCAGTTTTGTGCGACGATCGGCCAAGCCTTTTCTTTGTAAATAGCAGAGAAGTGAAAAGTTTTTCGTCCACGTTTTAGCCCGCAGTTCTGAATCGATTTTGAAAATTCAAAAATCGTTCGAAAGATATTGGTTGAGATAAAGTTTGTAATAAAGTTTGTTTAAAAAAAATCGACGATTTTCATGATTATTTTTTGACGGTAGATACCAAGGTCTTCTATATCATACTAAAATATTACGGCCCTACGACAAGAGGTTCAGCTTTAAAAATTCGTCAAAATTTGCAAAAATTGGTATAGTTTTTTTGGCATTTGTCAAAATTAGACCTTTGATCGACGTTTTCTCAAAAACGCCTGAGCCGATTTTAGAAATTTAAAAGCTATTTGATGTATTTCGGTGAGGACTATCGTTTGTCAGTTTTGTGTGACGATCTGCCAAGCCGTTTCTTTGCAATTTGAAAAAAAGTGTTAAACTTTTCATCCACATTTAAGCTCATCCTACCGAACCGATTTCAAAAAATCAAAAACTGTTCGAAAGATATTAGTTGGGAAATGGTACTGATTAATTTTAGGTAAAAATCTACCGAGCCGTTTTTTTGTAATTAACTATTGAAAAAAAGTGTTAAACTTTTCGTCCACATTTAAGCTCATCCTACCGAACCGATTTTAAAAAATTAAAAACTGTTCGAAAGATATTAGTTGGGAATGGTACTAATTAATTTTAGGTGAAAATCTACCAAGCCGTTTACTTGTAATTAACTGTTGAAAAAAGTGTTAAACTTTTCGTCCACATTTAAGCTCATCCTACCGAACCGATTTTAAAAAATCAAAAACTGTTCGAAAGATATTAGTTGGGAATGGTACTGATTAATTTAAGGTGAAAATCTACCGAGCCGTTTTCTTGTAATTAACTGTTGAAAAAAGTGTTAAACTTTTTGTCCACATTTAAGCTCATCCTACCGAACAACAGATTTAAAAAAAAATCAAAAACTGTTTCAAATCAAAAAATGTAGCCATAAATGTAGTAAAAAATCTGCCCCAGCCAATAATTGCAGCCGATGTCTATTTGACAAAGGTATTTGTGAAGCGGAAAAGTATATTTTTAAATCCAACTACCCCAGAGGAATTTAATACAATGATTAAACGCTTAAAAATAAACGTCGTTTGATGCCTTCGGCATTAATACAAAAATGGTAAAATCTGTCGTACAGTACATTGCAAGACCGTTGTGCACGATAGCAAATAATATTTTCTCCACAGGAATCTTTCCAGAAAAAATGACTGGCTGGCAAGAGTAGTACCATTATATAAATCAGGAAATCGACAATCAGCAGCAAACTACAGACCCATAGCCATACTGCCAATATTTTCGAAAATTATAGAAATGCTATTAGCATTAAGAATTACAAGTTTCTTCAATGCTAATAATTATTTTGTAAAAAATCAATTTGGATTCAAAAAAAATTAACACAATTAATGCTGTGCTAGACTTTTTGAACTTTAAATCAAATTCACTGTAAGATAACAAACACTGTGGTGCACTATTTTGCGATCTCAGCAAAGCGTTTGATTGTGTTCCACATGACATATTTCTCAGGAAACTGGAATATTATAGATTTAGAGGCGTAGCCCTTAAACTTATGCAATCATACCTATGTAACAGGTATCAGTTTGTGGATTGTAACAATAAACAAAGTGAGATAGCAAGATTAAATGCAGGGGTTGCCCAAGAAACTATTCTTGGACCACTTCTTTTTATCATATTTGTGAATGATCTACCACCGAACATTAGCAGCCACACAACGCAATTTGCAGATGACACAGCATTGGCGGTTGCAGACGAGAACATCGCAAATATGAACGAAAAAATTCAGTATGCCCACAAGCAAGTTGAAAACTGGTGTTCAGCCAACAAAATTGTACTAAACAATAGAAAAACTGTCCATATTAACTTTACTTCCTTTTACATAAGGAGCTGCATGACGGGGAAGTTAAATATTTGGGTCTCACTATGGACAGCCTGCTAACCTGGGCGAAGCACATAGATTCAATATGTACTATGCTCTCAAAATCAATATATGCCATCGGAAGTGTAAGACACATTATAAATGAGGAATGCGCCAGAGAGGCTTACTTTGCCATGTTTCATTATGTGTTCTCACATGAAATATTGGCATGAATACCTCCAAGATAATGGATTTACAGAAGAAGGCTGTAAGGGAAATCGGAGGGCCCTCACCTCAGAAGCACTGCAGACCCTTGTTTACTATATTTAGATTACTGACTTTACATCTACCAGCAGGCGATGGCAGTCCATGCAGACAGAACAAACCATGTACTGAAAAGTGACGCCCATGGCCACGCGGAAAAGGTATGCTGTTGTACCTCTAAAACTGAAGCTGAAATGCTCGCGAAGGAACAAGCTGGGTGTCGAGATCTACAACAGGCTCCCCAATGAGTGAAAAAGTAAAAGCAGGAATGGTTTCAATGCTGCTGTTAAAAAACATCTTATAGATCAACCTATCTATTTAATTAATGAATTTTTTAATCCAAGATTAATATTAATTGTCATTAGGTTAATCTGTTGTTCATAAACATAACTGATATTAGTTTAGTTATATTATAGTATTGCGATAAAAATAATAATTGTATTGACTTAAATTGTAAATATTAAATTTGAATAAAGTATCTATCTATCTAAATAGAAATCTGAATTATTTTCGATATACAAAAAAAAATTGAAATAATTTTATTTTTTCAAAGCAATTGTTTTGTCAACACAAGCAGAAAGTTTTTTGAATCATTTGATTCAAATGCTTATTTCTTTTGAAAACTGCCATTTCTTGTATATTTCGCTCCTTATATCCGAAATGGCTGGGCCTGCCTTTGCCATAAACTAATAGCCATTTCTCCCAATCATTACTAATTGAATGTTTTTTAGATCATTCACATCGGGTGCTCCGTGCTCTTAAAAACTCGATTCCTATGCACTCTTTGCTCTTTATCTCCGTAGCGGCTGGACCTGCTTCTGCGAAAAAATAATTAGCACATCTCCCCATCAATACACTTCGGCAGGGATGACACTGAATTTCATGTGTGTTAGTTTTTACTGACACATCCGCAGCAATATATAACGACAATAACAGTCCTTATAAACCATTTTTGAGTTTATATCTATTGTTTTTAACCCATTTTTATGCACGCCAATACTGACCTCAATCGCTGTCACAACCGTCCCTCGGATATGAACGGTTGTGCGATTGGCCTTTTTTGGTATGGTTTGATTTTATGTTCAAATTGCCATTTCATTTTTTTTCTCTCAGCTAACTGGTAAGCTAAAACTGGCTGAACAAAAACAGAAGACCGTACCCAGTCTCCCATAATTTCAAAAATGTCAATCTTGTTTGGAAATCAGGAAAAATTAAATTAAATTTTGTTGAAAATCAAGTTACGCAGACTTTATTAATTCTATTATTTAATTGCATCTGAAATGATGAATAACACTTAAATAGTTTTATACAAATTTAATTTTATACAATATTTTACTTTACTAATTTATTTAATTTATAACTAATTTTAAAAATTCAATAATCATATGGTAAAATTAACACTATCTTGAGTATAAAAGTCAATAATATTTCTAATCTCTTGTTCTAACTTTTTGTATATTTTGTTTTAAACTGATACTGATCACTAATCTCTATTTTTCTCTCAGCTAACTGGTAAGCTAACACTGGCTGAACAAAAACAGAAGACCGTACCCAGTCTCCCATAATTTCAAAAATGTCAATCTTGTTTGGGAATCAGGAAAAATTAAATTAAATTTTGTTGAAAATCAAGTTACGCAGGCTTTATTAATTCTATTATTTAATTGCATCTGAAATGATGAATAACACTTAAATAGTTTTATACAAATTTAATTTTATACAATATTTTACTTTACTAATTTATTTAATTTATAACTAATTTTAAAAATTCAATAATCATATGGTAAAATTAACACTATCTTGAAAAAAAAATCATTAATATTTCTTATCTCTTGTTCTAACTTTTTGTATATTTTGTTTTAAACTGATACTGATCACTAATCTCTATTTTTCCATACTTTTTCTTCTTTTTCACTTTTTTGCCTTACTACATTGTTTTCGTTTAACCATCACTCTTTCTTAATCTCATCTGACACTCTACGGGCTTTCTAATCTCTAACTGCATTATCCCACCAGAGACGCGAGGGCGGCAGCCGGTATTCTCAGCGACACCGTCGTGTCGCTCTCAGGGACAATCCGAAACCCCTTATCGTCAGCTATATACGAGACCTCGACGAGGTTGCCATTTGGGTCGGTATAACTGTAGGAGCCCTTAACGGTCAGAATCTTATCGGGTCCAACGAGTTCGCCCTCTTCCATGCGGGACTGACCGTCACTAGTTTCGAACCTAAAAAATGGGGAGTTAAAAATTATACTTTATAAAAATCATTAATCAAATTTAAAACACGAAAGTCTAATAAAGGACATATGGATATGTAATGGCAAGACCAATATATATTAACACTAAGACCGAGATATTTTAATACTAGATCTACCAAAAATACTTGTATACTTATTACAAACGCGCGTAGTCAATATAGCAGATTATTAGTGGTGCTTTAAGACAAATTGCTTGGACTTCCCTTATCGCAATTAAACATTCGAGGGATAATCCTAGATCAGAAGCTGCCTAAAACAAAAATTGTAGTCTGTAAATAATTTCTTTCGGCGTTTACAAAATCCACGCATTTATTCCAGATAAGTCTAACCTGTCTAAAAACCAGGGGCGTAACTACCGCCGTACGGTAGTACGTAAAAATACGGGGCTTCCGTACCAGGAAAGCCCCCAACGTCCGTAAGCAAATATTAATAATAAAAAAATACTTCACAAAAAGCGAATTAATCGTGAAAACTTTGTTCAATTAAATTTAATGTCATTAAAAAAGAACGCAAGAAATGTAAATTTATTATTTTAAAAAGTTTTATTTTTACCCCGCCATGGGGGCCCCAAACGTGCGCAAAATTTAGTAGAAACCTACAAATTTTTATTTAATTTTACAAATAGCAAAAGTTAAGATAATCATGAAAACATACTTCCAACTAAATTTAATTTGAAAAAAAAAATGAACATGTAGAATATAAAAATATAATTTTAGAGGGTTGTGATAGAATAGAAAACTGGCATTTTATTAAGTCATTTCTTTAATAGGTTGTGCAATTTAAAAAATCAAAATTAATTTAGCAATTTGCTAAATGTCTCGAAAAATTAACAAAGGAATGGAACGTAACGAAAAACTATATGCAAAGTATAGCGACCCGTAATCTTATTTCAAACTCAACATTTTGCTAATTAAATATATTAATTTCTCATACTAAACAGATTTCAGAGACTTCGACTCAATTATTATGTTCGAAAAATTACAATTGGGGTCATTTCGCAAACCACTACAGTACAGTAAGATAATCTCTTTCAATTTTTATTGTAATTGTAATTGTAATCTCTCTAAAAATATGTTTAAAATATGAAATTCAATTAGGGTAGGGCGGGGCTAGTTGAGCAAATTTTTACTTAAACGGATGTAGCTCCTCAATGAAAAGCCTCAATAAATTGCTATACGGCTTAATGGATTTGTTGTTTGTCGCTTAACAAAAGTGTTAATACTATTTTTTGGTAATAAGTAAAACTTAAAAGCTACAGCTGTTCAAATGCAAAAAGTCAAGTATGCTCAATGTACCCCATAGGTGGGGCAAGTTGAGCAGTAAGAAAGTATAATGAAATCATAGGTTCAATGTCGATTAGTGATGAAATAAAATAAGTTTTTAATAACCAGTTCTATATTTATAGTCTTTATTGACAGAGAAAACAAAACTTATAGTAATTTGCTTTGAATAATTAACGAAAAGTAGAATCAACAAAACAATATCGTATCTTAGGAATTATTTTACCATTATATTCAGTATTTTTGTTTAAAATCATTATTTATATTATTACTCATAGACTCATTTTATATTATTACTCATAGACTTAGCTCAAATCTTAAAAATAATAATTAATTTCTGGAAGTTAATAGTAATTGTCTTAGTGATAGAACAAATTTAGCAACTATGCTCAACTAACCCCAACTCGGAATTTCAAAATAAAAGTGAGTTTATAAGAAAACCGTGAGAATTATAACCAGAATTTCTGTGCATATTAAAAGTACTATAATTATATGGAAGAATAACATTTACCTGATTAAAAATAAATAACATTTGACTAAACCAGACAAAAACTCGTAATGAATTACTTTTTTACTTTTTGGTGTCAAAATAAACAAAACGCCCGTGAGCCTCAGTCATTTGTCCAGCGACCACTGGCGATTGCGGGATATTTATTTCTCCCAAACCTTTATGTTTCCGCCATATAATGCCTAAACGGACGGTGAATAGTTTCCGAGATATTTCGATTGCTCAACTTGCCCCTATGCTCAACTAGCCCCGCTCTACCCTACTATTGCTGACAAAATTTAATAGTTTTGCATTCAATTTTTTCAAAGTAATTTTTGCATACTATTTACCCAGTTACAACTGCAAATGATGTAATTTTCAAAGATATCTTGAAAAAAAAAGATGGCTATGATCCTGGAAATACGTTACATCAAAATTCGTTTTATCAAGAAACTATATCAAAAACTATAGACATCATAAGCTATAAATGATTTAATAAATGTGTATGCACACTGAATTTGAATTGTTCGTAAAAATATTGGAAAGGGCTAAATGAATATTGATGATAAGTGAAGATGTATTAATTTATTAACTTCCCGAAGGAGAAGTTTATGTTTTCATAAAAAAATCCGATTCGCTAATTTTATGTTTTCTCGACGTTTCAAGCCATTCTGAATCGAATGAGACCAAATTTGGAAAAAGTATGTGTGTGTGTGTGTGTGTGCGCGTGCAACAACAGATTTCTTGCCGTAAATCGCCGTTTTCTCAAAAACGGCTGGACCGACTTCAAAAATTTAAAAGCCATTCGAAGTATCTCGATGAGGACTATTGTTTGTCAGTTTTGTGCGACGATCGGCCAAGCCTTTTCTTTGTAAATAGCAGAGAAGTGAAAAGTTTTTCGTCCACGTT